GAGGGATGTCTTTTAAGTTTTGCATGTAGAAACATAGTAGGCCGCGCGGATCGAACGTCAGTACTGAATCTTAACCTCACTCTTTAGTAAACTTAAATTCAAACAATACATGCAGTGTTCTCACTACAGTGAATTTTTAAATGTCACCAAGTCATTAGAAAAATGGAACTCAACCGAGAACATTTTCGCGTCATTATTTATTACAACTTTCAGAGACAATTATCGCAACAAGAATGCCTTGCTGAGTTACTGTCTGTTTTCGGCAACGAAGCACCACATCAGTCGACAATTTCCCGTTAGTATGGAGAATTCAAACGTGGACGGGTGAGTCTTAGCGACGATCCCAGGGTGGGTGCACCAACAACGGCAGTCACCCAGGAAAACGTCGATGCTGTGCGCAAACTCATCGTTGAAGATAGACATGTGACATATCGCAAGATTGAGGCGTCCTTGAAGATATCAAAGAGCTCAATTCAAAAAATTTTACATGAAGAATTAGGAGTAAGAAAATTAGTTTCTCGTTAGATACCCCACCTGTTGACTGAAGAGCAGAAAGCAGCCAGGATTAATTGGTGTCAAAAAACGTTTGACCGTTTCAATTTCGGAAACTCAAAAAATGTGTACAGCATTGTTAGAGGTGATGAATCGTGGATTTACTGTTATGAACCAGAAAATAAACGACAGTCGGCTGTTTGGGTGTTCCAAGTTGAAGAAAAGCCAACAAAAGTCATCCGTTCTCGAAGTGTTTCGGAAAAGATGGTTGCGACATTTGTGTCAAAAGCGGGTCATATTGCAACAATTTCTCTTAATGAGCAAAGAACTGTTACTGCGGATCGGTATACTACCATTTGTTTGCCAAAAGTCATCACCGAGCTTCGAAAAATCAACCCCGAAAGAAGAATCATCCTCCACCAAGACAATGCAAGCTCGCACACAGCCCAAAAAACAAGGCAGTATTTAACGGAAGAAAACGTGGAATTATTGGACCATCGTCCATATAGTCCTGATCTAAGCCCTAACGATTTCTTTACTTTCCCGAAAATTAAAAACAGACTGCGTGGTCAAAGGTTCCAGTCACCAGAAGAAGCAGTTGACGCATTCAAAAATGCCGTTTTGGATCTATCAGCATACGAGTGGAATAATTGCTTCGAAAATTGGTTCGAACGCATGCAGATGTATATTAATCTTCGTGAAGAATAATTCGAAAAACAATACAGTCATTTAAAACTGCCTACGTTTTATTTCCATATGCAAAACTTAAAAGACATCCCTCGTATATGTGCAATTTTGTGTTGTGCAATACAATTTTAAAAGTAACGTTAAAATGTAGTCTTTAAACAGTGAATGTTACATACGAATATCACAAGTTTTTTTTAAAGCAAATACATACATTTAATAAGTTAAGAATCATCGAGAGAGCAGGTTAATGAAAGAGATGTGGATATAATTGTGTATAATGATCAATGATGACCTAAAACCAGATACGTATATCATTCTTTTCACTACTAACTATTATCACCAAATATTCCATTTCACAGCACAACCATGGCATTTTCAACTGATTTTATGAAGACCTCGAAATATCTACATAGTTAATTGTGATCAAACTGAATATAAAGTGACAGGCAGCTGGTTTAGGAATGGTCCATTTTAAAAGGGAATAAGGTAAAAATATTTGGCGGTTGTGCTGTATTCATGCAAGCAAGGAGAACCGCTACAGGGGGAGCTATACTCAACATTACTTATTTCTCAACAGCTTTTATGAGTGACACCTCTGCTTTTGATGAGGTAATAAATAATGACGGTTCGCTCGTATTATACCCCGGAGAAAATAGATCGGTATTTTCGTAGTGTCCTAGAGTCGGATTTATAGAACTTCTTTGGAAACACGTTCAAGGTAGGATTTAAACTTTCATTTCACAGTAGGCTGAAACAGTTATCATCCCCAGCTGCCATCGATGTCAGAAAGCGTTTTCTTAGTATTTTGATGATAACATTTGGTTTATTTGTACTCAATATCAATAAATAGTGCAAAAAATTGCTTTCTCGAATTACATCGGAATTATAGAGACGGAAAAAACAATTTAGGCAACCTGCTGGTTGCAGATTACGTTTGTCAGGTTCAACTACTACAATATTTCACAAAGAAAATATTTTACACCCAAGTTTTATATTATACGTTAGAATGAGGGCTTAAGGGAAAAAATGGCACGGAAAAGATGCATTTGATCGAGATACTGGACAAAATTGAAAGGATCATTGAAAATAAAAACAGATAGCAAAGCAGATCAGTTCGGTGGAACTGGTTGCCGATATTCAGTTTTTTACGTCTCTGTGATTGCGCTGTAATTCGAGGAAGCAAGAACATTATTAGTTTGCATTGTGTATTGATATTTAGCACAAATAAACCAAATCGTCGCAATTTTGTCATCATAATGCTAAATAGATACAAGCAGCAGACAAAAACTTTCTAACATCGATGAAAGCTGGTGATAATTGTCAGCCTACTGTAAAACGAAGATTTAAATTCCTCCTTGAACGTTCCATAAGGAAGCATCATTATTTCACTATTTCCAAGGAAGCCTCAAGCTCAAGGAAGATCCATAAATCTGACTCCTTCCTAGTGAAAGGAGGCAATGTATGTAAAATAGTTTTGTTTTAAGAAGTTACATAAATATGAGCATAAGGGGTTACTATGGACTAAGGCGTTTTCATATCTGAAAATAAATAAGTTCTAATTTCGTTTTTCTTTCGGATATATCCAGATACGACAAATCTTCAACACAACATGATTTTGCACTTTAACAAAGTTACCTAGGAGTAACGTAAAACTAGACGGACGGTTGAAAGATCCAGCGCCGGACTCGATTTTATTTTCACTTTTTTGTTTTTCACCAAAATCAACATCCTTTAAGCCGAATTTTAAACCTTTAGACTGTGTACAAAACAGCCAATGACTGGTGTTAATTAATTATCAAAATAGAATAATTTTTTAATTAAACACTTTTATTCATTCAAATATCTTATTTTTAACAGTTTATGACACACAAAAGCTCAAAAATTCGGCTCATCAACTTGGTTTCATCAAAATTTTACAAAATAATGCTTTAGTTGAATCACATATGTTTTGAGAACTAAAAAGGACAAAGGACTTCAATTTTTATTATTTTCTTGTATTTAATTAAGTGCAACGTCCTGTAAGTTATGCTATGAATTTTTATTATTATTTAGCAAAAAGAAGAGCACATAATGATTTAAATAAAAGGAAAAATTAATGTTATGCACTTTATTTATTTTTTTTCAGGATTTTTTTCAAGATTCAATTCTACCAACCGATACTGTACAATATGAGTTCTTTATAAAAAGGGAAACAGCATTTATTATACAATTCCACTAAATTTGACCGCCCATAACAACTTGAAATTAAACCAAAACTAACATAGTGTTGTAGTGAGAACACGTAAACATAACTATGCTGAAAATGCTAAGTCTAGGTATCTCTACATTTTCATCATAATCTTAAATTGATCTGAAGTCAAATACAGTGCATTTGCATACCAAATCCTGTTTCCCGTTAAAGTAAGACTCATGTTGTTTAACATCAGCAGAATTAAATCACTAAACAATTACTGAAGAGCCTAAATAGGGTGGATAACCGTAATTTTCATGTAGTGCTCTTTATTCTGCGAAATTATATTAAGAAAATGAAAAAACTGAATCCGAACCTAGAATTTTCATTTCCCGAAATATCTTAAGTTCGATTTTAAGCATTTTTTGTAAAATGTTGATTGAACCAAGTTGATCATCTCTGAAATTTTGAGTTTTGTGTCAAACTGCTAAAAATAGGATATTTAGACAAATAAAAATTCTCAACTAGAAAACCAAGAGACGTTCAAACAATATATATTGCTAATTAATTAGCACACTTCATTGGCTTTTTGTAGATAGTCAACAGTCCGGTCCTGGATTTTTAAATCATTAGTCTAGTTTTACGTTACGCCTACATACAAAATTTCAACAAAATCGGTTCAATAGTGCCCGAGACATGTGATATTAAAGATTTTGCATGTATACCTGTAAAAACTGAATTTAGAACTTTTTATTGTCAAATAGGCATAGGTCTTGGTCCATACTGCCTACCGATTCACTATGTCTTTTTAAGTACGGAAAGCCCTGTGCACGAGGGTTAGGCGAAACAATTTCAAAATAGTTATTCACACTAAGGGAGAACTGGGCACTAGAGGTGACAAAACGAATTATTGCGGGCTTTTGTAAATCGCGACACAATGATACCGCCTCACAAGTGGGGAAGGACGATATTGATTTTAGACATGAGGATATAGCAGGTATACCTGAATGATGACAACAAAAAAAGCATCTGCCATGTTTATATGTTGTCAAGTGGCTGGAGAGATACAAGGATGACATGTATGAGAGCCCTGTGAGAAGTGTGGAACACAATGAGATCTACGCTCTAACTCTAAATACATGATATATTAGGTCCGCGCCTATTTATTATTGGTATTTACAATTATTATTTTTCGCATATTTTTCTGTTTGTAACATTTCAAATATTTCGAAATATTAAGTTTAGTTATCAAACTGACATAATACCATTGAGATAATACAATTTTAAAATATTTACTTCGGGAGGGATAAGCTGCCTGTCAATGGAAGATTGCGATTAATTATGGTAATTTATTTAAAGCTAGTAGTGGAAAAAAGTGTTCTTTTCTTTGTTACCTTACACGATATACTTTACAAGGGCTGGCTGAGATATGCTCAAATGTCATTGTGACAGACAGTCCAACCCTCTTTACGTCTATCTTGTAGGTACAATACACGAGATCTCTTCCATTCACGCACTCTCTCAACGCTCAATTGACTGTCTCCTTTTCATATTTCCTCACATTCTGTCTCATTTCAATGAATTTTACTTTCGCTACATATCAAAATAATATACACAGTTATAAAAGTGGTCTAAAGAGAATTCTACTTACCTCCTCTTTGGTCTCAAATAAAACTTTAACTTGATGAGTTATAATAGGTAGAAGTATTTTCCTACACTCAGGGTACAAAAACAGTTTACTATGTACTATTTCATTTACCGTCATCATTTTTTGCTTGGTCAGCCTTCCTTGTGGTATATTATTCAGCATGTCATACAAAATGGTACTAAAAAATAAAGCTTTTATTTTATGCTTATTATAGTTCACAAACTGAGATCAACAGTTTTAAAGGCGGATACACATTATTCAGCTTAACTAAAGCATAGTTGTGTAAGGTGGCAATAAACCCCCAGAAACTTTATGGGAAATGGTTTTCGGATATATTTTTTATTTTAGTACGAGTATGTTGTAGGACACAACATGTAGAAATGGAGGAACTCCAAGTTGGGGCAGTCTGTACCCTACAACAGCGTATTTTGGATTCTGTACCTGATGGATAAATAATAGTTGTTTGATATTGATTTACGTTCTTCCCTACAGCTGGTTCATAAACAGTGTAATTCTATCACACACACAAATTTTTCAAAAACTGTTTGGGATTATCCTGCAGCGTCGCTGTAGGAACACATTTCTAAAATATTCAGTATTATACATGGTGTTCCATTATTGTGCTGGATATCAAAGTTGCTTTTTACACATGTTTGTATTTTTATTACTTCTGTGGATATACAGGGTATCCCAGAAGTCAACGTTAGGATGGAAACAGGGGATAGGCCAAGTCATAATAGTTATCAGGAAAATATAAAAAAACTAAGTCGTGTACTTTTCAAATTATAGGCTTTAAAAAATCGGAAAAACTATACCATGTGGTGATCTTTTGGTTCCCATTACTACCAGTTTCACTTTTTTCTTAGACGCATTGACGGTCAGTGTCATTCTACGTACTGACAGGGTAGTAACGCCAGTTTTATTAACTCGTGAATGTATTTATTAAATTCACAATGAATGTTCAGATTGCCTACCTTCAGCACTGCAAGCTTGACATCTTAAAAATGATCGGGTTATCAGACAGGCGAATCTTCGGTTATTAACAAATTAAACTGCTTCCGTTATTCTGTCCCGTAGCTCAGCTAAATTTTCGATTGACTTTGAGTAAACCTTTTCTTTCACCGCTCTCCAATAAAAAAAAAAATGAGAGGATTTAAGTCAGGTGGAGGGGCTGGTCACAAAAGTTGTACCAGACTGCAATATCCATTTGCTCGGGTATTCCGCAACAAGATATTCTCTAACTAAACGGGCATATTGCGCCGAGCAGCCATCTTGCTGGTAACACGTATCTCTCTAAACGGTTAGTTCTAATAAATTTGGTGAATGATTTTGTAAAGTCTAAATAAATTTGGCCATACAAGAACTCTGACAGCTCAAAGGATACAATGATTCTCCCATTTAAAATCCCGTTCCACATGTTTACTTTAAACCTAGACTGTGATCCATCTTGTCCCATCAAATGCGAATTTTTTACATGCCATTCGTGTAAGTTGTGTAGATTCATGTAACCATATTTTTCAAATGTAGACTCATCAGTCCATAAAATTTTCTATAAAAGTCTGTCTGCGTAACACTGTTTGACAAAACTCAACCCTTGGAAGATAATCCCGGGGCAGTAGAGATTGTACTCGCTGTACGTGGTATGGATCGAGCTCGTTCTTTCGCAAGATTTGGTGGTCTGTACTCTTGCGCCCTCCCGTGTTTGCTTCTATTTGACGTAGTGAAGTACTCGGGTCTTCTTCGACTGCTTGTAGACGACGAAAATAAATTCTTCCTCCACATGTGCTTGATTTGGGAATCATCCCTATGAGAGTCAACGGTGCACATTCACAAAATAAAACCTACCTGCAGTACTAACATTGCATTTACATTCCTGTTGGCGTATGCCTGTACCGCGTACACAGACATAATGGCACTACACAATCATGAATTATTAACAGTGGCGTTTCTATCTGTCATGCTCACTACGGAGAATGACACTGTTCATTACTCCCTCTAAGAAACAATTTGTAGTAATGGAAACTAAACGATCATCACAGGGTGTAGATTTTCCGATTTGTTAAGCCTATAATTTGAAAAGTACACGACTTAATTTTTTTTTATGTTTTTCTGATAACTATTATGACTTGGCCTATCCCCATTTCCGGCTTCATCGACTTCTGAGACACCCTGTAAATTTCTGCTTTCTATAGTTTTCTTAATATATGTTGACTAAAAACACGAAAATAAGTTAACTTGTAACTAGACCTTCAAGAGATAAAAAGTTGCATTTTTAAACACATTGACCTTAATAGGAAGTTTCCTATAGTCGAAAATACTGCCAGTTTTCCTTGCATATAACAGTATATAGTTTGAGTAGCAGAATATCACTATGCTAAAAGTCCCTTCATTATTATTTTCTTAATGTCAACTTTTCGACTAATCAATCAATGCAGTTCTATGTGGGACGTCTTGTATGATGGGAGATTCGAGGACCTCAGCTGAGCTGCTAGAATCAATTAAAAAGCTTACTTCGGCATTGTCAGCAATTTGATAAACTTAAGTTGAGACTAAAATTAAGAAACGAGTCAAGTAGGTTGACTCTGCACTTCACACGCAACGCCATCATCAGTTCATAGAGGATTATGTTCAGTACAAGTTAGAACCTCTGAGAAAAAAATAAGTTACGAACACGTATAATAACCGTGAAACCATAACATCCAAAAAACAATATATCACATTCGATTTTTTTTCGATTACAATAGGGACGTAGGTAGTAAAACGTCGGCGATGTTTAGTTGAAATATGCATGCTGCATGATAATATGCTAGAAAATTTCCCCAATATTCGTTACATTTTCTGTAGGGTATACAATTCAAGAACGGAGGCTATATCCAACATGCGCTGGATCAATTTCTGACATTTAGCGATGAAACGTTTCATAAAAAACTGAATATTCAGATTGCAAGAAGTCGATTGATAATGATAGTTTCTCAAATTGGTAGTGAAAAAGTTGTATGAAATTTAGAAGATTATAACTCAAGACTTACCCAGTGAAAAAAATATAACAATTATTTTATTATGAAAATAATATCGTCATACCTTAATTCCTTGTGATCGAAAATCATCAGTATATAAGGGATAGTACTGGGTAAATACTTCAGACAAGCTCCTTGCTCTCGCAAAAGTAAGCCGTCTTTATTGGAAGACATCATGTAGATTATATTTTGCAGCAGGTCACGTAAGCTTTCTTCAAAATCATCATCGGGATCATCTTCTGGATATAAGGCATTATACAGAATTCGAGATCTGGACACAAACCTTATAACATACTGAAGGCACTTCATGGTCCGAAATATCAAGTCAGAATATTCCTTTGAGTTACCAGACGTTACATCGCTCGCCCTTCCGATCACAGATTTCAATACTGATATTAACTTTCTGTAAAAAAATCATTAATTTTGTTTAAATTGACAGGAATACAAACGAAAACAATTGAGAAAAAAGAAAAAAATCAAGTGCAATAGAAAATATATATATATATATATATATATATTTTTTTTTTTTTTTTTTTTTTGAGACGTGGTCATTGTCGTCTAGACCAGTTAGGTGAAAAATTAAAGCTTCCGCTTTTTGTTGGGTACTTCGACAAGATTTAAGCAAAGAGGACTCTTTATACTTTTTTAATTCTCTCTAGCTTTCAATGGACTTTGCCATCATCATCAGGAGCTGCAATTACAATGATAACAGTAGCAACAAAGGTGTAAAATGAATTTAAATTGACTCAACTTACAGTAGTATGTGAGAATGTTGCTAATTGTTGTTTACGCATATGATGAGGGAAACGTCCAGTAACATGGTGAGAGCTGAATAGGTTGCACAATAGTCAAAATTTATACAAAACATGACAAGAACACGTTAAAACAGATTAAAAATTATTTTAAAAAATTAGAACATTACATCGTGAAACCACCTGATGATTGCACAAATTAGTGGTCATGGAATGATGAATTGATGAGTGACATGAAACCCTTTGACAGAAGGCCGAAGGATGTCAATGTCAGTCCATCTTTCAATACTGACATTGACATCCTTCGGCCTTCTGTCAAAGGGTTTCATGTCACTCATCAATTCATCATTCCATGACCACTAATTTGTGCAATCATCAGGTGGTTTCACGATGTAATGTTCTAATTTTTTAAAATAATTTTTAATCTGTTTTAACGTGTTCTTGTCATGTTTTGTATAAATTTTGACTATTGTGCAACCTATTCAGCTCTCACCATGTTACTGGACGTTTCCCTCATCATATGCGTAAACAACAATTAGCAACATTCTCACATACTACTGTAAGTTGAGTCAATTTAAATTCATTTTACACCTTTGTTGCTACTGTTATCATTGTAATTGCAGCTCCTGATGATGATGGCAAAGTCCATTGAAAGCTAGAGAGAATTAAAAAAGTATAAAGAGTCCTATATATATATATATATATATATATATATACGAGCCCCTTCCCACTTCAGTTGGCCCACCTCAAGATTTGTACCAAAATATGCCTTTATAAGCTAAACATGACAAAACTATTTACTTCTAAAACAATTTATTTTCTCAAAAACATTTTAGATACATACACTCTAATCGTAAAAAATACATACATATTTGAAATCACTTAGACCTACAACTAATGGAACATCTGAACAAATAAACAATGTGCGAATCCATGCGCGAAGTTAACAAAGCAACAATTGAAAGATTACCATTGGGTAACATCACCTTTATTTTTTATTACGGCTGAAACCAAGTTTTGGCAAAAATTTGGTGTAAAAAAATCCCATATTTCTTGAAGCTTTTGTCTCATTTCGGTGATTGTACGAGCAGGATGATGACGTAGAACCTTTTTCATCTCGTGCCACAAAGTTTCAATAGGTGACAGATCTGGACTGCTAGAAACCCATTTCAAAAGTGGTACATTATTTTCTTCCATCCATTTCATAGCCTTTTTTGAGGTATGGCACGCATCTTGCTGAAACACAAAATCTTGGCCGGATGTCAAACATTCTTCCATCACTGGTAAAAGCGATTCTTCTAAAATTGCCAAATATTTGTTTGTATCCACATTTCCATCCATAAAATGCAGTTTTCCTACTCCTTTTGATGACATACTGCCCCAGACCATAATGGATGCTGGAAATTTCACTTTTCTCTTCAGACAGTCAACATGGAATGCTTCATTTTTTTGCGAATAACTCTACTGCGACTGTCACCAACACAAACTTCGAATCGGGCCTCATCACTCCATTATATTGCACACCATTGTTGAGGTGTCCATTGTCTATGTTATTTAGCCCATCTAAGCCGATTTTTCTTTTGCAGTGGAGTTATTAGTGGCTTTTCGTTGGCCTATAAACAAGTTGTGCAACTTTAGGGTTTTTACTTCACTTTTTTTTATAAGAAAACTTACCATGCAAGTGCTAAATCCCAGTTTGTGGGCCTCTCTAAGAGTTGTGGACCTCAAAATTCTCCTTCCAACAGCGTCACTCCACAGAGCACTTAATTGTAAATAATTGCCACGCCTGTCTTTCACGATTATTCTTCTTAATGCTCTTCGGTCGGTATTTGTGATATTACTTTTTTTTCACATATCGTGGCTTAATATTAACTGAACCGGTTACGTTATATCTTCTAACAATATTTCTCACACAGAATTAAAAAATTATCAGTAACCGAATTTTCTCACTAATAACCTTTCCTCTACCCATTTTGAAAACCTTAACTACCCAAAACTATTTTAAAAGTATTCTGACAGCTGTGATTAATAAAAACAATTGTCATGGCTTTTACTTTTCACAGCCACCTATGCGTTATAGACTTATATTGCATTGAAATGAAAATAGGTTGATATGCTGTAATTGCAACATGTGTTATTTTTATGCTGCAAATTTGATTAGGGAGTGATAAAGTTGGTGTTTTCCACTTTATATTATCAAAATATTCATTGTTAATATTTTAAACCTATAACACCCTACTACATTTTTATTATTTGTGTTTGATAAGAAAAAAACTAAGATTTCAATAGTTGGGCCAACTGAAGTGGGAAGGGGCTCGTATATCTATATCCAAGAGCACCTATAATGTACAGGGTTTGTTCAGAAAGTAATAGGACTGAGTCGATTTAAAAAACTTTATTGAGCCAATCGTTACAATTCTTTAAAAACTTTCAAAATAGGCTCCTTCTGCGTCGATGCAGCGCGATTTCCAAGCAATGAAGGCGTCACGGAAGGCATTTTCCGGAATAGCCTTGAGAGCCGTGGTGCATGCTGCTTGGATCCCCTCTGTCGTCTCAAAATGCTTGCCTTTCATCGGCCTTTTCAGGCGAGGAAACAAAAAAAAGTCCGGGGGGGGGCACATCTGGGCTGTAGGGCGGCTGCGGAAGCGTTGAAATGCCGGCCTTGATCAGGTAGCTGTTCACAAGAAAGACGGTGCGAGCCGGGGCGTTGTCGTGGTGCAACCTCCAGTCGGCTGCGATGTCTTGTCGGACCCGACTGACCCTTCGTTTGAGTCTCCTGAGCACGTAAAACCTGGCGTTGACGGTTTGTCCAGGAGGAACAAATTCATGGTGGACGATGCCTTTGATGTCAAAAAAGACAATGAGCATCGTTTTCACTTTGGATTTGCTCATTCTTCCCTTTTTTGGGCGAGGAGACGCCGTCGTGTGCCACTCGAAAGATTGCCTCTTTGTCTCGGGATCATACTCAAAGATCCACGACTCGTCACCTGTGATTACGTTATTCAAAAATTGGGGGTCACTTTCACACATGTTCAAATTTTCTTGGCACACTTCCACTCGCCGCAATTTCTGGTAGTCAGTGAGCACTTTTGGGACCATCTTCGCGCACACCGTGCGCATGTGCAAATGCTGTGTCTCAATGTCATGAACCACAGATTTTGGTAAATTTAACATCTGGGCAAATAAACGAATACTTAGTCGACGGTCTGAGTTCAAAACTTTACGCACACGAGTCACATTATCGGTGTTTGTCGAAGTCGAAGATCTTCCAGCACGGTCTTCATCAGCGACCTCTTCCCGGCCCTCCAAAAGGCCTGGTGCCACCGAAACACACCACTTCTTGCTAAAACAACACCTGGGTAAGCCTGCTTGATCATATCAAACGTCTCTGTCGCAGATTTACCGAGTTTCACACAGAATTTAATCGCGTACCTCTGCTCTAACGAACGCTGCATTTTCGGCTTGCACCACTCACAGAAACATGTCGCGCGAAACATGTCCTGACTCTCCAAGTGCTCGGAGACAACTGACCAGCCGCTCATTTGTTAGCTAGGAACGCCCTCTACCGAATCCAGTCGGTGCGCGCACGCTCCGAAGTACGGTCGAGGCGGAAGAAAATAAGTCCTATTACTTTCCGGACAAACCCTGTACAAGATTAGAAAATACTTGTTATTCAGAAAACTTGTTTTCAAATTTTTATTAACTAGATTTTGTGAGAGAGCTACTCAGTCGCTAATTTTCGGAAACTAACAACCACGTGGTAGTATTTTGGAACGGTTTACAAAAGTGGAAACTGGGTCTCATCACTTGAGCCAAATATGTTTCAGTATAAAATAAATCCCAAGAAAACCCATTGGGAGCTGCCATTTACTGCACTGAAATGAACAAGTTTTATGGGTTTGTAAATGAAATTACGTTGGGTACGTACATAATCGCCTTTCAATAAGGCTATATTTTAATTAAACCTAGGGCTGAAATGGCAGTGGAAGCTGATTGCTATTTCTTCTTTCCTGTGCCATTCAACAACACTTCACTCTACTTACTTGTAGGCTAAAGTTGCACTGAAGCTTTCTTTAATATACATATCCAAAACAGGTTCGAAATGTTGATATTTCCAGTCGTTCACTAAACTAATAATATTCAAAAGGCATTCAAATACTAGAGTATCGTAAGTATCAGTCTTTGGGTTATCCATAAGGATATTGAACAAGGCATCTAGGATATCTTGAAGAAATATCACAATCTCTTCCTTCTCTTTTTCCCTTTCCATGTTTTTCAATGCTAATAGAGATTCAGTGAGGGTCTCTTTATGGGAAGCCCAGTTTAACAGCCCGAGAAGGTTCACTGTAAAAAATGATTACTTGAGGTGATGGTATGTATGAATGTTGAATATTCTACACATTATGGAATTTCAAGCAAATCTGAATCAGGTTCATCAAGTTATTTATTGTCCTTGTACTCAAATTCAACAAGCTGTCCATTCACAAGAATCTTAGCTTATGTAAGTTGCTTGCTTTACCTCAAAAATAAATATACAGCGTGGAACAGCCAAATAAAATAAAACACCATGGGGTAAGTGATATTTTTTGGATCGATTTTAAAAAAAATACATTTACTGATGGTCTAACAAATCATTAAAATTATTCAAGAAAATTGATTCAAGAAAATTCGACTTAGGCTCAGTTTAAATTGTCCTGCAAAAACGTATTACACTTGAGCGGATGCTTCATAATCAATATTTGTAGTTGTTCATACCACACCGTCAGTACTTATTGATGGATTCGTCAGGGTCAGTGGATGTCTATGTATCCTTCAACATCAATAAATACTGATGTACACACGCTCAATAAATATTACGTTTCATGATAAATATTGACGGACCACAGTAAATGTTCAACGTCTAGCATTTGCCTCATGATGACGTTAATCCTGTTATCTGTCATCACCAAAGTCATCAACGACTCAGAAATCTGTTATTACTTTGTGTCGGTGTTGTTGATTTCTGGTATACAGGCCTGCCTAGGAAGTTTTGCTTTTTTTGTAATAACTGAGGTTTGGCATCGTCAATGTATGCCGTATTATACGTTTTTGGGATTAGAATTGAAACCTCTATACATCTGTGCAAAAATCCAATATGACGTCTATAAGATAAAATAAAGTTGAGGCTGGAGGACATGAAACGTATCATCATATTTATGCCATCTTGTAGAGGAGGAATGCAATGTTCATGTGCAATTTATTTTGAAATCCCACTACAAATAGTCAGGAAAAAAAACTATTTTGGAAAAATTAGTATTTTCCATCTCCTTTCGGAAGTATTAAAAATTTCGAAACTTTCTAAGCAGCATTTTGTTGATTATCTAAATACGCAGCTTGCTCCCATTTAAGCGACTTCGTATATCTTACTGTTTCCGAGATCCCAATGGTGAGGGACGAATTTGAAACACTCTGTATATCCAAATATCATTGTCATTAACAGGATTGACGATTGACGTCACCGACAATTGCACTGTGATAAAAAATTAGCGCGAACTTGTAAACTTAAAATTACACTCTAACAAAACCGAATCAAAATTTGTTTAGTTCACCTCAAAACTAATCCGTGTACTAAGTCAAAAAGCCTAGGTGTTTCCTCTTAAACTAAACACTTCTGTTTTTCATTGCTCTTCTCCTTTTTTCTTCTCTTTCCCTCTCTCCTTTTTCTTGACATTGTCTGGTTTCTGGGCAATCAGGACTGACAGGTTCGACTAACGTACATTAGACAGTGACTAATGGGCAAACAAATGACGAATAATCACTGACACTAAATCGTGTCTTTAAGTATGTTCCGTTTCGAGTAACTTTTGACTTGTTTGTTGCTTAAAATTATTGGCAAGACTTGAGATGGTAAGGAATTTTAGAAACTCGAAAACGTCAGTTAATGATGTTTTTGGCCACAGTAATAAAAACGCAAATAATAGTTGGGTGTGGGTCTGAACAGTAACTATTAAAAACACAATACTCTTATTTACTACAGTTGCTTCTATTTACAAAAAACGTAAATAGGACAATTTTAGTTTTCAAAATTATAATTTATTCGTAAAAATGTCGTCCCCATACTTAACACCTAAGTAAGTAGAAGTTTGAACGGCACTAATGTGACCAGATTGATATTTTTGTAAAAATGTTTCTCGTTTACAGAACTGTTACTTTACATCAAAAGTCAATTGAAAAATACTGAAGAAACAAATCGGTTTTGTATATTTTTAACATTTGCTACAATTGCGATTCACATTTTGCTTTTTATTTCTGATCACATCGTCTAGTCAAGTGTGATTTTATTAAGGTTCAAATGCGCCGTGTCATCAATTTATTGTTTTTTAAATGGTAATTCCTCTAGTAGATTTAGAAACAATGGTTATGTTCACTTTACCTTTTGTAAATGGCTGGAGGTCATGTTCACTGTCAGTGAGACACTTCAAATGGTATGCAATTGAATAAATCTAAAATTTACCTGTTTTTTCACGTATAAGTACTATAATCAAAATATCAAATGCATTCCATTTGGCTGCTCCACACTACATCAGTTTTACTCTTGAGGTAAGGGTATTGACACAGTTTTTGCGCGAAATTTATTTTTTACAACTAGCTCAACATGTAAGTTACTTAAGGTCTAACATGTATTATTACACTTGTTAGTAGATATGGTAGATAGATTGCAGATAACGTTGATCTTCTTTTGAATTCTCTTAAAATTAAGCATCTTTTATTTACAACTGCTCATAGATTCGAACACAAACAAATACTGGAACCAGTTTCATAGTGTTTTTTTTATATATATAAAAAGATGTTTTATTCCGAAAACCATTAGCGGGTGTTAAAATATTGAAACAGGGAGCAACTTCAAATGCTAAGAGTTGGAAATTTTTTAATATGATGTAATTTTGTAAGACGATACGCTTTTTTGTTGACTAGAGAGATACAACCTCTTTAAATAAAAAAAAAATAGATTATTCTAACTGTAAATCAGACTCAGAAATGGATAAACAAATATACAGAGTAAACAGATGCTACATCTGCCTCCTGCCTCCAGTTTGGCCGTTTGCTCATAGAGGGAAGTGTTTTTGTTGTAAAATAAGCAGCCATTAATTCAGTGTCATATCAGTTTAAAAGGACAAGGTCAAGAAAAGGCGACCCAACAAGCACGTTAAGTTGTAATTACGTTAATTCGACCACAAAATACGTTAAAAAAATTGCATGACCAATTTAAAAAAGCTTATGTTTACTTCCAAGCGTTTGCCTTTCTCTCATTTGGTGTTTGATTTTGATATTTCTGTGGATTATACGCTATTATACTCTAGTTTTTCAAAACCCCGTATTCAGCCTGTTCCAAAGAAAAAAGGGTAGGTTCTGAAACGAGTCATAGAGAAGGCAAGCGGGACGCACCATTAATACAATACTTCCGAAATGAACGCGCATGTGCTTAAAAAAATCGTTATAGCCGAGTCTATTTTCATAATCCGGTAGTATTGCGAGGTATGACTATAAACCTTAGGCCTCTTCCGGATTAAATTTTAAGACCGTTCGTGAAAATAAAAATGTTTCCTTCAAAGTAAGAGTCAATGTTGAAATCTAGACGAACACTCACTAAAAGTATAATTGTAACCTCAAGGTGTACAATACGGTTATTTAGTAGACATATCGTCTTGTTTTTTACCAATCTATGTTGCAAACTTACACGCCTTATGATTCAGGTCTAGCAACGTAATTTTTACACCAAGATACAGAAATATATTAATAAAAAAAAACGGCAGACTGTAGGGAGTGCGCGCTTGATATACCTCCTGTTTGGTATTTTTTTACTAAACTATCAATTAGTACCAAACTTACCATTTTGTGTAAGCTTCGTGGAACAAATGTTACTTTCAATGGTGAAAGCATCTTTGGAAGACACAGCCAAACCAGGCACTTGTGGCCTTTCCCTAGTATTCTCCATTTCACTCATAACAGATGGCAGTTTGTAGTAGTCTAAACTATTTTCATCGAATTTTTTATAGTCAATTTTATAAACAACAAGATTATGTTTTCCGTCTTTCAATGTGGTGCCATTATCTTGCATTAACTTCACGTAACTCATTGCAAAAGGTTTCTCACTCTTATCTTTTGCTTCATTGGAAGACCTATGTTTGAATAAAAATTTCAAATGGCTGGTTTTGAATTCCTCGATTGGAACTGCAACTTTGAAAGTCTCGTGCCACTGGGGTTTGTCTTCATGGTAATAGATTACCGATCGGTATTCATTCAATGGAGGGATACCACCTCCTAAGCTAACGACACCCTAAAATCAGAATAGACACTCAGCAATATTTTAAGACTTATGTACCGGATCTTATCAACTATTCAACTTATAGCTATCAAATTATTATACATGTATATATATGACAAGTTAGATTAGTCAGTAGGTGAAGACCCATAGAAGTATCGCCATTTTTCTGATTTTTCTCGGAAACCTTACATGCAATGGTATTCTAATACATTACGCAAAAAGCACGCGGAAAAACTAACAAAGTGGTGAACGTTGCTGATCTTTATCTCAATTACTTATACAGTTATTAAGTAAAAATATAATACTAAAACTAGGGTCTAACTGAGTTAGGAAAAGTATTGAAGCCATAAAAAGTACTTAATAATAATGATCATGCCCGAAGGTGTAAAAAACAAAAACTACACAATATGAATTTTTTAGAACAATATGTTGATAATCTGTCAAACATTTTTTTGTTTGGAAGACAATATTCTGTATTGCGCGTTCACATAAGATCAACATTTTTTTTATAAAATATTACAAGCTACTTTAAATTTCAAAACTTACCGGTATCGTTTGCCCTTCATTATTACACACTTTTATCGTTACCTCAACGTTTTTATCACTTGTTTTATTTCCCTTACTGAATTCACCATTCACTAATGTCAAATAGAGGTCATTTCTCACATCACCCGGTAGAATCACTTCTGGAAAGCCCATTTTTCTAGCTATAGACACATTTCCAAGGACTAGATGAGGATTTTCTTCTCTGACCTTTAAGTACAAAAAAATGTACGTGTTACCGGACAAACCCGATTTTAGGATAAACTAGTTTTTCCTAAGCCAAATCAGTGTATCCGAAGAGCAATAGAATGAACTAGTTTATCCTATTAATTATTTGTCCTAAAATCAATTAAGTGTGATTAGCCAAAACTGATTTGTCCTAGTCTACATACAGTCTCTTCACAAAAGGAATGTTTTTACTACTAATTGAAGAAAATACTGTTATTACAAAGATATTTAATAACTTTTATTACTTATTTGTTATATATGTCAAACTATTGTGGCATTTCGAGTTGCAGAGAACGTTATTTTTCTTGCCAAGGCATCGATTTGACGTATAGTTGTTTTGAAACGTCATGGGCAGTGACCGCTATATTATGTGTATTCTCAGAAGACAAATATAAGAGCAGCCGGAAGAATATTATCTTAATCACAAATACAGACTTTTTCGTCGCAGACTGTCTGGCACTCCGCTTTGAATATCCAAGGGAGAACTATCGGTACTCATTGGCATGCGCGTAAAGATTACGATTTTGTGTGTTGGATTTATTTTATGGTAGACTATGTGTAATGAAGATTGTTTTTTATAATCAATATGTGAGTGTATAAGTTTCGGAGATTGTAGATGACGTATATTATGAAACAGCGTTAGTATTGCAGTTGGTATTGTTCTTTTTCACATACAAAGCTTTTGATAATCGGAGATGTAACGTATATGCGTTTAATTGGCGACTGTATGAGGAAAGGGGTATATGTTACAAATGTTGAAGCCGAGATAAGAGGCCGAAAACATTTTATTTTTGAAGTTTGCGAAACTTATAATGTACAGTAATCTAAACGCTAAAGGGTATGTTTATATGTTTATTATAACCAAATACTGAATTTCTTGTGAAACAATATTGTACTACAAAACATATAAAAGAAAAAAATGTACTTATACCACGTTTCACAAAAGATTTTCTGTGATAATGCAGTAGCAGTGTTTCACTCATTATCAGAAGATGATTCGGATGTATCCGATAAAGTATTTATTGCGTCCTCTGTGGTTACTAAGTTTTCATAAAACTTGTGGAAGGTTATATTGACATACGGAAGCAGCTCCATCAAATTTTGTTTTTTCAACACGCTTATGGGATTGGGTCCTGTATAGGAGGCAGGTAAATTTATCTTATTTGGCCAAACCTTACCCTTTCTCATAAAATTTATTATCTGGAATGGTTCTTCGATGCTCAAGCTTTTCTTATAAATTACTTGTCCAGGTGTCTTTGTATACCTGAGCCATGTTATTTCACTCCAGACTACTTTTTCTCCATTTGTGTTCACTTTTCTTTGCTGGAATACACCATTTAAGAGAGCCGAAAACTCAAAAAAACCACTCATGCTCATTTCTGAGACTTTGAATGGTTTTTTAGTGCAAGATTCATCCAGTCTCTTGGATGTTCTATCGGACAAGGATAATGCTTCTTCTTATTTTCAATAATAGAATGATCAGTGTCACATTCCATATGCGTGTGTCTAGGAATCAGGAATTTGTGATCAATTTCTTCAATTTTAGGTTTTTCTTTCAGAGCCAGCATAAACATGACGGATAGATAACAGTTCTTGTTTTGGCCGGCACATGTGTCTGAGTAAAATGTCAGACTTTTTACTGTGCCAGGGATCTCTTTAATGTGTTTAAACAAGCAAGAGGCGATCTGATTCCCTCCTCTTTCTGCTAAACCCTCGTGCTACATAAAACAAAAGGCTTGCTGATCATTGCACCAACATTATGGTATTGATAAACGCTGACCTGGAGGTATAGCGTCTCGCATCATTGTATCCCATTTTTGAATTTCAGGTATAACTATTCTTAAAAGTTCATCAAAGACTGTACTATCTAGTTGCAGAAACTTTTGAAAATCACCTGGTTCACTATAATCCTTAATTCATTTTACAAATTTTCATGAGTGTACTTATTTCTTTTTTGAACCATTCCTTCATCCACATGCGCTTTTCTTTTTGAAGCTAAAACTAATGCAATGACCACACAACTCGCTGTCTTTTTAGTATTCCACATGTTGACTGCACAAATGTCAGCCGATAACTTTGTTGAGCAATAATATTGCACCGTATGGGTTGGCCTACTAATAATATTGTACATTATATCGTGCAATATATTGACAGTAATATTGATCATCTAGGGGCCACAATAAAGTTTGTAAAATAAACAGTTTGCTTTTCGCAGGTAGGAACATTGCATACAGCGAGGCGACTTTCATTCACAGCTCTCATATAGTGCCAAAGTCCTGGGACGACGGGAAAAATACCTGTCTGAAGGTCACGGGAAAACGATTAATTGTGTTGCTTTGTGGGGGGAAAAAGGGCTTTGTACCGAATGCAAAACTTCCCTTCAAATCAATGAAATCACGATGATATGAACTATAAAACTATATCAGATGGGTTAAAGAAAAATTGATTGATCTAATTCAGGTCTAGTGATAGAGAACGCCTCTTATCACAATGTACCGGTAGAGCCGTATCCAATTTCTGCTTGGAAAAAGGCTGACACTCTTTTTGACCTAGGTACGTGTCCACTTGATAAAGCGTCATTCATGATAACGAGATACATAGGTTATGAATAACACCCACAATACCCTATTTCACGAGTATCCATCACGGTACAAAGACAGCTGATTATCTAGTAATATCTCAAAATTCCCCATATCGGCACAGGACACATAATTCTGACGCATTCGTCAACGTCAGGTAGTCAGAGCCGTATTTTGTTTTGGTTTTTTTGTAAGCTACATATTCATTTTGTACTTGCTAACAGCTCTTTTATTTAGAAAAGTTCATTTGCATACAAAAAACAAAACGGTACAATCAAATCTTACTAGATTTACACCCGATTTATTATTGCCAACGTCAGCTGTTCACTTGAGAGGACGTCAAAGCGTGATGGATACTCGTGAAATAAGGTATACGCGTGCAAACTAAACGAGCCAAAGCCACGCAACTATCTTTTAACGAGTTCAGACTAGTTAAATCTCGTTCCGAAGTAGTTTATACTGAAATTCAGCCCAAGTGAGACCACAACATCGCAAACTCGAAGCGTGATCAGCGCGTGATCGATGTTCCCGCAGAGGGTCTCATTATAGTTCAGACATTTTACGGTTTGAAGTTGTAGTTTGAAGCGCTTGCTTTTTCAACTAATAGTTTCATTTCGTAGCTTTTATTTTTCTTTTTTTCAACTTTCCGCCCCTCATATTGATGCTTTTGTTAAATACAATGTCCTGAAGTGGCTCCAATATAAAACTCCATGAATTTGGAAAACATGCAGTTTCGAACATTTTTTAAGACCTAGTTAGACTGTAGCAATACAAAACCCGCCGTTGCGCCGCGTTGATGACAAAAACCAGAGTTGTAATCAGGCCGTGGCGTGGCGTCCAGTGCATCGCTGTTATAAGTTCTGTTACATCTGGTGGTTTTTTGACCATGTCTTCTACAGCTGATGAAGGGAGAACTACATTGAGTCCACCCAGGAAACGATCAAGACAAAACCATTTGAGCATCGAAGTGAAAGAAATTATTTTAAATGTTTACAAATGTGAAACGGAGGAAAAACCTGAGCTCAGCGTCAACGATGTTGTGCAGAGGGTGGCGAATAAAGTTGGAGTTTCTCGTGCATCGGTATTTAGAGTACTCAAAGAATATAAATTACGGAATGCATTTGCTGAACCTAAAACGAATCTGAACCGTAAAAGCCAAATTAAAGAAATAGATGATGCTGACAGACATGCGATCAGAAGGAAGGTTCATGAATTCTTTTTCCAGAATGAAATTCCTACAACTGATAAGATTTTAAAAGTAGTGAATGAAGACTCAGATTTGCCGAATTTTAGTAAAACGACTTTCTACAGGCTATTAAAGGAACTCAACTTCAATTGGCAGAAGAGAGGCCGAAACAGTTCATTGATGGATAGAGATGAAATTATACTATGGAGGAGAGAGTATTTGACAAAAATAAAAACATACAGGAGTCAAAACCGTAGAATTTACTTCCTGGACGAGACGTGGATAAATGCTGGCCATACAAAATCAAAAGTTTGGGTGGACCAAACAGTAACGTCAGCAAGAAGAGCGTTTTTAGATGGGCTTTCAACTGGGCTTAAAAACCCTACAGGTAATGCAGACATTCCATTTTAGAAAATCCAACAATAGTTATTAGATAATTTTTCATAGCCAAAGTGATTTAAATGAGGCATTACACGTTATCAGATATCTAGGAAAAACGAGGGGATGTTCACTCTGGAAATCAATGTATTCTACGTTGGAATTCTTATGGTATCGATGACAAGATTTTTTACAGCAATGCGAGCGTTGCAGAGACAACATACCTCGTCCGTCACGGAATGTAACACGTTAATTAACAACGTCAGACATTGCGTTGATTTGTAAATTTTTCGATAAGTTTGTCACACTTGATAATTTTTTATTTTAATTGATGTTGCCTGTTTCTTTTTGTTTTTTAAGCTAACCAGATTCATCAACAGATTAAATGATGCATTGGTTGAAGTGTCCGATATATCTCACCGCATGCATCCCGCTATCATGAGAAACAATATAGCATCGTATATAAAATACAGAAATGTGTCCCTATCTCCGTGGCCTCAGTACTCTTGTGAAAGACATATAATGTACATTCGTATTTAACAAGCTTTATCTTTATAGGCAAAGGAAAAAGGCTCATTATTTGCCACATCGGGAGTGTAGATGGCTTCGTGAAGGAAGGACTATGGTGTTTTGAATAAAAAAAAACACTGACTACCACGAAGAGATGAATGGTGAAGCATTCGAAAACTGGTTTTTAGGCATTTTATCACGTCTTAAAGACAATTCTGTGGTGGTCCTGGATAATGCTCCGTATCATTCTCGGAAATTAGAAAAAATTCCAAATTCATCTTTTAAGAAATCAGAGATACAGGACAGGCTACGTGCAAAAATATACCTGT